GAGAGAGAGAGAGAGAGAGAGAGAGATTGACTTATTGCCTACCTTATGTGCCCCAATTGGGAAATAAACCTTCCACCTAGTTAATTGCCCTGACTGGGAATTGAACCTGCAAACTTTTAGGTGTATGAAACAACATCCAAGCCAATTGAGCCCCCTGGCCTAGGGCTCAATTATTTTAGTCTAATCCTACATACTAAAGGTTTCCAACATTGTGTAGCAAAAGGATTCTCATCTCAGCACAATATTGCTGCTGTTATTTCCCAGCTGTCTCTGGTAGTCTGGTCTTCTCTGAAAATTCAACATAGGATGTTCTTATGTGATTGATAAAATTCTCTGGTGAAACATTTATGGCTGGATATTTGTTTTAGAGAAAATTTAAATTCATTTTCTTTAATAATCGCGGAGCTATTCAGATTATCTATTTTATCTTAGCTGACTTTTGCTGGTTTGTGATGTGTGAGAAGTTCCGAGTTGTTGAATCTTGTAAATCTTGAAAAGCTATTCATAATATTCCCTTCTTATTCTTTTTTTAAAAAATATGTTATTTTATAGGAAATTTATTTATTTTTAGACCAATTTTAGGTTCACAGCAAAATTGATTGGAAGTCAAAGCGATTTCCCATACATATCTTGCCTTCACACACATTTAGATTCTCTATTATCATCATCTTCCACCAGAGTGGTACATTTGTTACAATTGAGGAACCTACATTGACACATCATTATCACCCAAAGTCCATAATTAGGGATTTTTCTTGGTGTTGTATATCCTATGGATTTGGAGAAATACACAGTATGGAATTGGAATTACATGCTATGTAGCCTTTACAGATTGTATTTTTTCTATCATGCATTTTACATTCTTCTATGTCTTTTCATGACTTAATAGTCATATTTTTTTTTAGTGTTGAATAATATTCTATTGTCTGGAGGTATCACAGTTTTTTACACTCACCTACTGAAGGACATATTGGTTGCTTTCAAGTTTTGGCAATTATGAATAAAGTTGCTACAAACAATCATGTGCACATTTTTCTGTGTACCTTATTTTTTAACTCTTTTGGGTAAATACCAAGTAGTGCAATCATTAAATTGTATGGTATGAGTACGTTTATTTTTGAAATTTTTAAATTGATTTGTAGACATTTCATAGATTTAAAATATGTTGCTTTCTTTGCCTGTATGTTAATTTTTCTCTTTAAAAATGCCATCCATTTCTTCCTTCTCCTCCTGCAGATGATTTATCTGGCTCGAAATGCCAAGGATGTTGCAGTCTCATATTATCATTTTGACTTAATGAATAATTTGCAACCTCTTCCTGGCACCTGGGATGAATATCTAGAGAGATTCATGGCTGGAAATGGTAGGTAGACCTTGGTTTAAAATTAATAAGTAATTTTTAATTTTTAATAATACTATTAACTATTACTGCTATGACTTTTCCTTTTAAAACATTTATTTTTCACAGTCAGTAACAAGTATATTCAAATACCATTTAAAAAATTAAATCAAATATGTCTAATATTTTCCTACGATATTCAATATATAAACTTGGTGTTAAACATTGGCATGCTGGGTCGGCATGGTTCAGTAGTTGTTTGTCACGGTTCAATTCCAGGTTAGGGCATGCCTGGGTTGGGAGCTCAATCCCAGGAGGGGCCTTGCAGGAGGCAGCTGGATCAATGATTCTCTCTCATCTTTCGATGTTTCTATATCTCCCTATCCCTTCCTCTTTGAAATCAATAAAAAATATTTTAAAAAACAAAAACATTGGCTTAATGAAAATATTCTCTAACCTCTTTTTAGTTGCTCGAAATCCATTCTCAATTTCTGCTCATGATAGAAATTGTTTACCTTGTCCAAACCATTAGTAAAAAATGTTATACACATATTCATAGTACTTAGATAAATATTTGATATGAGTACTTCATAAAAAGAATAGTCTCCTTCCATGTGAGGCTAAGTAGAACCTATTGAAGGTAAATGTATTTTCAATTGAAATGCTTCCTTGTATCTTATATTTTAAAATCTGATTATTTATAAATGCATGGTTAAATTTGCCTTACATTCTCAGTTCCCTTGATTACTAACATCCACAAAATGGTTGTACAATTTGACTTATTTTTCAGGAACAATTCTTTAATTTTATGAATGCTATGGAAATAGATTTTTGTTTGTTTGTTTTAGTGGCCTATGGATCCTGGTTTAATCATGTTAAGAGCTGGTGGAAGAAAAAAGAAGAACACCCAATACTTTTCTTGCACTATGAAGATATGAAAGAGGTAAAATGGCAAAAAATAATTCTGAATAATTCCTCACTACATTCTGGGATAAAAGGATTAATATAAAATTTTCAAAATGATATGGTTGCTTTTCCAATTCTTCATGTCTGCTTACCCAAATCTTGTTCAGATCATTAATGACTTTCTAATTGTGAAAACTTTAACATTTTTATTCTTCTGATCCTATTTGTTTTGAGTACCTTTACTTTCTGAAAATCTCTCCTCCATCTAACACATTATCACTCTATCATGGTTTTTTAGTTTGTCTCTATCACTTGGTCATTTTTCTTTTTAAGCTGTTTGCTATATTTTGGTGTTCATGTCCATGCCCACTATTGCCAAAACTATTTATGTGCTATTGATGTCTCCCAAACTTTATTTTAATTCCTACACTGAATTCAAACCCTTGGTTTTATTAACATGAACACCAAATTTAATACGTTTAAAACTAAACTCATCTTGCTTCTTTCTCTCCAAAATGTACTTATTTTCTTCTCTTTTGGTTAATGATGTTCGTTATATGTCCATTCAGTTTTAAAAACTTGAAAGTAAATTCTCCTCATTAGCTTCCACATAATGAATCTAGTTCAACTAGATCCTGAACATACCATGGGTTCACCTGCCCTACTATATCCTTCAAATGTGCTCCCCTCCTTTGTTTTTTTACTACCTCCCTCTTAGTCAGGGTCTCATAATTATTCATCTAGTCTCCTTACGAACCAGTATTAGTTTAAATACTACTGCAAAGCTCCAGGCCTGTTCAGGGGCTATTTTACTCAAATTAGGTAAATGTGTAGGTATGTGCATGCACACATATGGGAAATATGTGGAAATCAAGTTTCTCTAGTTATATTTTAATTAAATCTTTATTGTTCAGATTATTACATTAGTTACTCTTTTTTCCCACCATAACTCCCCTCCACCCAGTTCCCACCCCACCCTCCGCCCTCACTCCCCACCCACTGTCCTCATCCATAGGTGCACGATTATTGTCCAATCTCTTCCCTCACCCCACACGCCTTTCCTCCTCCCCAAGAATATTTTTTGGT